TGACGGAATTTCTACAAACTGAATTTCCTTTATCTCAGACTTAAATGCGATTAGTGCTCAGTAAGATGCATTTGAAGGAAGACTACAACAGGAATGCTTACTTGCATAATTGAACAAGCGCGAATTTTTGCATGAGAAGAAATATATGAAGCTGTCAATTGTTGAGAAGGTGCACCAAAGTTTTCTTCTCTAACTTTAAATAAACTGATAACTTCAAGAAATTGATGGATGTCGATGAACTACAGTGATCCTCCAACAAATCACAGTTTTGAGTTGTCAGATAAGTTCCTGCCGCTTTTTGCGAAGTCAAAAATTATATGAGACCGGTTTTGCAGCGCATTGCATATCATTCGACGCAGAAGTCTCTCTCTGCGAAACTATATATTTGAATTGTTTAGAAATCTTTGGTTTGCCAAACTAGATATGACTAAAACGTATTCAAGGAGGTGAAAAAAGCGCAACCGACAGTTTAATTTTCTAGATTGTGAGGAAGCCGGAACTCACAATAACACAATGAAGTGGTTGGCTATACATCATGAAAATATAGCTATCCATGGTTCCACCTCACTGTAAGATTACAGTACATGGACGCTGCAAGGTGAAATTCACCGACTTATCTGAAAAAATGGTCTAGATCATATCCATTCCATATGGAGCAGTCATTCGCGCGGCAAACGACGATTATCCAATTCTCTTTCAAAAAGTCAGCGATTTTGACCTTACATTGTGTACATACCCCACATTTACTGGCGCCACGAAGCAGCCCTAGTGCCTATGGAAGAAACTTGCACACACACTCTTCCTACTCAAAACGCCAGCTGCACTTTTGCGAGGGTGCCTTTTGGAGGGAACTTGCACACACACTCTTCCTAGACAAAACCCCGCCAAGCGGTACTTCGGCTAGGGTGCCTTTTGAGGGAATCACACACACTCCTATGGTGCCTTTCAAAAAGTTGTACACACACTCCTCCTAACAAGCGCCGCCAGGCGGCGCTTTGGCCAGGGTCCTTCGGAGGGAGCTTGCGCACACTCTTCCTAGACAAAGTGGCTTGGTAACGACTGAAGAAGAAGGGAAGCAATGAAAGAAAGACGAAAATAAGAAGATAGATGAATCTTTACTCTCGACAATATTTTGCAAAACAAAAAATTTATCACTAATCTTTATACACCGGTAACTTGAGATATCTAAATACAACCATTGCAAAAGAGTTAA